TCGCTACCTTAGGAGGATCTGGAGCCACAGGATCAAGCGAAAGAATTTGAAGCGAACTCAAGTGACAGCACTAGAAAGAAATTGTTTGGCATTCGGATGGTTGGAAAAAACAAAAGCAAGAGGCATCAAGTGAAGGGGTCGACAATGAATTAAAGTAACAACATTTGGAGGGAATTGTGCGACATTTGGAGGATTGGAATGAGCGACAGCAGGCAAAATGCGAATTGGGGCTAAAGAAGATTGATTCGAATGATTTTAACCTGGACAAAGAATCATTGTGGGTAGGACCCTAGCATAGGGTTGCATACAACCGCGCCAGTCTCTTTGTTGTGGTAGTCTTCTGGGGGAAAGTGATTTAGGAGCCTATAGAGGCGGGCGAGCTGATTTTGGAATGAGTCGGACTTATGGAAAAACAAGAACCAACCTCGGCTTCACAACTAGAATAAGCTTCGATTGAGAAAATTAGAGAGGAAACTCCCCCATATGGAAGTTGAAGATGTCGAGCTTTGAAGAAGGTGATGCCTATGATAGGAAACTCCGCAGAAAGTAGGGCAAAGCAAATTATCTTGCTTCAATAATCCCATTAACTCAACACGAATACATAAACTAAAATTCGAAAGGTACGCGATCTCTCCCAAATCCTATAATTTTTGGTAGAAAATCTCTTCCAAATCTAAGACTCAAGACACAATCAAATGTACAGCGCTAAGCATAAACATATTGGCCTTATACTAAATAATAATAAATGACGAATGACTAAATTTCCATAGGCTAATAAAAACTAAATGGCCCTTGGGCGCCATCATAACATTACTCACCTCCAAAAAGACACATTGTTCTCAAGGTGAAAAAAACTAATGTTAAATCAGGTTGTATGACTCCCACGTGATGTCATCATCTGGCAATCTTTTCCATTTAATAAAAAATTTATAGTGACCCTCATCATCTAGAAATGTCATGACGCGGGGACTGGCTTGGTTGAACCGGCCCAACCAATTCAATGGGGGCTATCTTAATGGACGGGAACTGCCACCCGTTCTCCCACTCCTATTATATCTAGTATCATATATATATATATATAATATATATATATATATAGGGTTCAGTTTTGTTTTCTGACAGATTTCTGCCTTCAGACGTTTTCACCTTATTAGGGTTGTATCTGAAGACAGGTGATGCTACAGATGTATATTGCTTCGAGGTGGTGACGATGTCTGCCTACCCCCACATTTAATCCCTTCCCCTAGTCATTATTTTCATCTTTGCAGCCACCTCCCCATTTCTGCGACTGCCGGCCCCACCTCCACCTTCAGCTACCGTTACACCCTACTCGCACCCCATCCTGTTGACGTCGGACCTCCCTTATACCCCCTGTAGTCGCCTTCAGCCCCCTCCTGCAACTCAAACTGCTGCCACCAACCCTCCATCACCAAGCCCTGCTACCATCCCACTTTCCTAAACCTCGACTTGTCGGCAACCCCTTCCTCTTCACCACAACCTGCTATCACAACCCTTCCATCCACCTTATCTCTTGGCGCAAACCCCAGACCACCTCTTAGGAGCTTGTTTGTGCTTGTATTCTTTAGTTCCTACTTTTAAGAACCACGTGTTTCTTTTCAAAGTTTTAGCAATAATATTTGTGTTTTGTTGTTATTCGGGTTAACTCCGGTATCATATCATTTTGTGCACATCTTCAGTCGCATTCAAATCTAATGACACCCTAACTTCAAGTCAAACCTGGAGGATATCGCCGCACAAACAATGCATCAAGTAGTTTATAAATCCCCAAAATCTCTATCAACTCCATATCATGTCTCTTCCATGATATGTAACTTGATTAAGAATCTCAGTCTTGCATCCTGAATCGTCCTCATCATAGTTTTCAACGTCACCAATGTCTTGCACAAATTTGGCTCATCATGAAAAACCATCATCTTATCTCCTTCCTGAATACAATACAATGTCCAAATCAATCCTTTATAAAACCCCCCTCTTCTCCTCCTATCTTGTTCCCGTCATTACTTCTAAATTATCTTCCACCGGAAAGGCTACTGCAACAAAATGCACTGGCACAATTTGATGTAGAATCGTAGGCCAAAGTTCTTCAAAGAGAAGTTCTCTAGCCTTGAATTGCACGACATTCTGAACTGTTTGTTGTCGCTCATCACAAACATCACGACGTTGTGCAATTCTCTCCAGAGGTTGCTCGAATTTGTTCCCGATTCAATCGTTCGATACCACAACTCCTGATCTGCCTAAGGCAGCGACACTGCCCGAATGGCTTGCAAATCCTTCTAGTTGTTGCTACTCGCGTCCGTTCCCAACAACATCACTCGATCTCGTGGTAGGTGGAAGTGATTTTATGTGAAACTTCATAAGCTTAATCAATTCTTCCTGTGTTGCGAATCTCCTCTCGAATCAAATTTCAATGGAGAAAAACCTTTCCTCTATCCCATATTTAATTTGGCTCACCCTTCGTCCAATGTCCAATTTCTTCTCTAAGTAATTCATTTTCTTGCCAATATTTTCTGAACATATTTTGATCAAGAAATGTATGCCACGATCTAGTTGGCTTCCCAAATAGCTCAAATCACGATTGTTTCATGAGGCCAAGAAGGCAACATTGCAGGGCCTCGATCTCATCTTCCCACAGCCCGAACGAAGCCAAATTGTACCGCAATATTTTTCTAATTGAGCACAGTGATCCCATTGTTGGCTTCCTGGATAGTTCCAAATCGTGTGATTCGGCATATGGCACGCCCCAGCTCGGCAGAATCACCACTGTTTCACACGATCGATGGTCACAACAAGAAATTACCGTGACTATATCATGATCGGCTTCCCAAGTCCGCCTCAATCTCATCATCCCAGCAAGCTATTATCGCGACTATATTTGGAGTTTTGGGTCTTTGTACGTCGCTATCCCCACATGGCCTTCCCAGCGAGCTTGAATAATATGTTGCAATCTCTTTTTCGGTCTCCCAAATTCCCACGATCGTGGTTGTATTGCGAGGGTAGGTTACGAATGAAGGAAGTTGTGATCTCGTTGTTAATCTCCCAGAAATCGGATAGTCTTATACAAAACACTACAACTCGACACAAATACAAAAAAAAAGATAAGCACCTACGATTCGAAATGTAGGAGATATCTCCCATATCTTATAATTCGAGAGGTCCCAAACCCTAATCCTAACTCATGACTAGGGCTGTCAATTTGGCTCGTTGTTCGTGAACAGCTCGTGTTCGGCTCGTTCGTTAAGCCTAACGAGCCGAACATGAACAAATTTTTAAGCTTGAAATGCAAACGAGCCGAACACGAACAACAATTTATTCGCTCATGTTCAGCTCGAAATGGCTCGAAAAAAAAATTATATAACTTTTTATATAACAATATATTACATATATTATTTATATAATAATAT